AAAGCATGGAAGAACTCAAACCTAGGAAGGTAAATTGCTCAGTTTCTCACACGTTTGCAAGATGGTAAATTTTAGAAGTATTTAAAGTATAGAAGCATGGCTAAAAAGAAACAAAACAAACAAACAAACAAAACCAGCATACAAATCAACTGCATTTTGGGAGGCTGTAATGGTATAGTATGAACAGTCATACCTTTCTGGTAGCAGTGCTACTGCTCTGCTGTTGAGAGCCACAGAAGAAGAGCTAGTGGTGAGAAAGAACATGATTTGTTCTGTTTGAGGTTAGTATGGCCAGCAAGCAGCCTTGGCGGACATTCCTTTCAGCTGACCATGAGTGATCCCTTGTACATGAGGTGGCTGAATGAATCAGTAGCCTGTGCCCCCTGCAGAGCTGCCACTAGTGGCTTGGGGTATCTAATTTTAGTCAAGCTTCTTTTAATTAATCCATGCTGTTGGATTAGCTAGGTTAAGTTAGATGGTTGTTCTCTCTGAATATCTGATTTGATTATATATGTCTTTAAATATAAAGCCAGTTACTAATTAGGTACGTACTAAATTTATGAAACAAGACAGCAAGGTTGGTTGAAAATTAATTGACTTTCTCTGCCATTTTTTACATTAGAAGAGTCTGGCACTTTGACTCAGTGTTAATGTGTTAATGAATACACTAAATTGTCACAGCAGTTTTTTGAAGCAATTAAACACCAGCAAAGAGAATTCTTAGAATATGAGCATGTACTGGGTGTTGAGTGGGCTCTCCTTGCACTAGCTTCACAGACTACAGTATGGCTGAGGCAGTTTTTTGTTTGATCTGTGTCCTTCTAAAAAGTTTGGATGAGGAGGAGGAGGAGAAAGGAGGCAGGTTACAGTAAGGCAATTTGCAAGGTTTGTCTTTGGTGCACAGTAAAGATTGAGCATGATGTCTCATCTTTCCATTGCCAGCCTAAAAACAAGGTACAGAGTCAGGCTTCTCAGCCTCGCTGCCATCTTCTGTGTGATGGCACAGCTCTATCAATGTGCTTAATGAAGCAATTATCCTCACAGTCATTTCTTCCAGAGTTCTTTGAGAAGTGAAAATTTGTAATAATATAAAATACTACTACTGCTTGCAGCTGTGAGCTATAGTAGATCAAGCTATCAGTTTTCCACTGCAACTCTTTAGTCCTGCTTCCAACATCTACTTTATATATGGCTATAAATCTTCCAGGAGTGTAATAAAGGTGAACTGCATTTCACTGTAATGGGGTATGTCTTATGTGAAGACAGACATTAGGAGTTCTATGTGTAATAGCTAGTGCTTCCAAATATTAACGTCAAAAGACAGGATGTAGCACCATGTGCTGCAGAAGTCATTCAGAGGTATTGCAGTTTTCTGTCCTGAAGTATCCTGATTTTATCATAGCAGTGCTGCTCTGGTTCAGGAGTTTGTGCCATTTGTTTTATAAAACTCATTCTGAGGTGCTCGTAGCTCTTCTGCTCTGCACATCAGAAGTCATTCTCAAAAAGTGAATGCTTCTGACTCGGTTGTTTTTCCTTTATTTATTTATTTTCCTTTTTTAATGTTAAAAGTCTTCTAGCCAAATATCTGATTTTGAAAATTCTACTTCTTTTGCCAGTGCTGGAGTCATTGCAATTACATGACACTTTTAGAGACCCCCAAATGCAAATAGATACCTTAAGAGATTCACAGAAGAGCCTATTTCCTACTGAAGACATTTAGAAATGTAACTCATTGTTCCTTTATGAAAGTTACTTTCTGGTACTGAACTGAATAAATAAACACATTAATATTATGTTGTGGGTTATATTTCAATACCTTTCAACTTCTCTAAATGTGAATGTTTACAAACTGGATGTAGTTAAAACACTACTGATGTGCATGAGCTTTGTCTCTCATTTGTGACTTAAATATAGAGTTGTCATTATTTGTGAACCAAAAAAAACCATATATATATTTATTGTTCTGTATAGTTGTGAAAATGTTTAAGGAAAGTACGCACTGGTTCTGATATTCATTGTTAGGCAAAAGCATCCCGTTATTAAATCCCAGTCCACCATTCCTGCATCCCAGCTCTTGTCATTTCACAGTGTCTTTTGGTCAGATTAAGTGCTGTGGCAAGTCGGTACAATTCCTGTGGAGACTGCAGATTATTACTCCCAAGTAAAGTTTGGCTTTCTGCCTAGCTCTGTCTCACCTCCCCCTAAGTCTGTGTGATGCAAAGAGGCTGGCTGAGGAGGAGAGCAAAGAAAGCAGAGAAGCTAAAAGAGGAACTGACTTGATAACTGTCTTCAGTGTGCTTTGTGTTACTGCTCTTCTCAGGTTGCTCTTATGAAAGGATGCTGTGTATTAGGAGGTTGCTCCCATCACCTGTTTTTTTTTTTTTAACTCAGAAGGTAAAAAAAACCAAAACAAAACACAACACCTTCCTCCTAATACCTAACCTAAACCTCCCCTCTCATAGTTTAAAACCATTCCCCTTTGTCCTATCTCTATCCACCCTTGTAAACAGCTCTTCCCCCTGCTGTTTATATGCTCCCTTCAAATATTGGAATGCCACAATCATGTCTCCTCTGAGCCTTCTCTTTTCCAAGCTAAGCAAGCCCAGTTCCCTCAACCTTTCTTCATAGGAAAGGTGCTCCAGCCCTCTGATCATCTTAGTGGCCTTCTTCTGGACTTGTTTCAAGAGCTCCATGTCTTTCTTGTGCTGGGGGCTCCAGGTCTAGACATAGTACTCCAGATGGGGACAAATCATGTCCACAACCACAAAGACCTGAACATCTTACTGACCTGCCTTTCAATCCTTTCCCCTGTTAAAAAACAGTCTAATGCCACCCTGCTTGAAAAGTAGGTTAGGACTCTTGCTTGCCTTGCTATCCATCTTTTCTCTGCAAGGAAACAAGAATAAAGGCAAGATTATGTCACAGCTGAAATTCAGGGCATGAGTCTAAGTGGCAAACCTACAGCTAGCCAAAGTGCAGCTCTCTGGGATAAGGCTTCATGATCCTGCGTTCGGCTATCCCCTATGGCATGCACATGTGCCTCAGACTGTAGTGTGGGAGGTGGTAGGAGAGGCTGCACAGCTGCTGCAGGTGAGGGGAGAGGATATGATTCAGCAACAGTGATGAATGAGACAGGTAGGCAGCTTAATGCCCTACACTCAACTGCTGTGATCGTCCCTGTCTTCATCCCTAATGTGGTGTATGAATTTTAAGAGGAAGTCTGCTTTCTCTGAAGAGCCCTTTAAAAGCAATGTCCAGAATTGTGAATTCTTGCTGGAGCTATACCTGGCAGGTCTGCTTCAGAAAGATCTCTCTGACTTCTTTCAGACTGACTCCTCAAAACATTTAAAGCTTAAATCCCCAACCTGATGATTCCTTCACAAAATCTGAAATTTCTTCTTTATTTCCAGGAAACACAGACTACCTGACATTTGTATCACATTTCAAAAATTTGAGCTCTGAGTCAAGTTTCATTGGGCATATGAATCCATTTGTTGCATCCTGTACTTCCTAGTGTAGTAAGACTTTCCTACAGCAGACAAATGTATGTCGGTATCATTTTGTAGAGTGGTTTCTGGTCCTAATCATGAAAGTCATTACAATATTTTTTTTTTCAGTGTCAGAGCTTTGATTGCAGCACACATCCAGCTCTACATTCTTTGCCTGTAATATTTGCCTTTCATACTGAACACATAAAATTCTGAGGCATTTATCTCTACTGTTCTGTGGTTGAAGAAATTTTAGCTTGAATTTGTCACGTACCTGTTGAACAACTTACATTTAAATGCAGTATTTAAACATTCAATCTTGTGAGAGAATCTCCTGTTACACAAAACACGCGAACTTTTAATGATGCACATTGAGGGCCAGAGTGTATAGATTACCCAAGTGCAGGGCTGTACCTCAGAATTACATAGATTAGAGTGGCAGCTGCTTGTTCACAGAAATGCTCAGTAGCAGAAGAGGTGCACGGAGAAATCCTCTGACATCTTGCTTTTCTTGAAAACCAGGCAACACTTCTGAGTAGTAATATTTATGCTCTGGATCAGTTTTGCTCATTCTGCTTCATCTGCCCAAGCCTCCTAAATGCTTCCTGTTAATATTAATAGAATTTTTATAAAAGTTCATTTGGACAAAGTTCATCAGAATATCATGCATGGAAAGCAACTGAACTAATGCTGCTCCTCAGCTTCTGCACAGACTTGGTGTCAGTCTATCTTGCACACTAGGGGACTGTAATAGATGGACAAGTGTGCTTGGATACCAAAGACTGTAGTAGATGCTGGTTCACAGAAGATAGTTTAGAGCCAACTCAGTGCTCACCGGGCATCAGCAAGCATATGGTGTATGGCTTCAAAAAAACACCTTGGTTAAGTTTTCTTCTGGCTCATTGGGTGACGTTGGTTACGTCTGGTTTAGGCTGTCTTTGCAGACAACAAAGATTATAGCCTTATGTGCATAAATCTGTTTTTCACTGTCTTCTGTTTCTTAGATTTCTGTTTATTAGATTATAAACAGGAAACAAAACTGTATGCTTTTTGAATGAAGAATACTCTGACAGATCCAAATAATCTGTAAACTAGCTAACCAAATAAAGCTATTAAAAAGCCAACCAAACAAACACGCACTAATGCCACAAATAATTTTCAGGTAAAACTGACCTATCTCCTCAGGATCAGCGTACAATATAATATGCAAACTTGATTCTGATCTCACTGAGGCACTGGACTGGATTGGACCACTCTGTTCACAGCTAGGCAAAACTGGCTTCTATCCTTAAGAACTCAACTACTTTCACTGTAGCATGTGAAAAATTCACCTGTGGGCAAAATTGTTGAAGTTTATTGTGCTGTTTGCTGAAATCTGAGTACTTGCATTTAAATCATGTGTCAGAATAGAAGAATTTTCCTGCTGAGGAAAAACAGAATATATCATATGGTAATAAAACAGAAAAATCAGAAAATAACTTGATTTTTTTTTTTTTTTTTTTCATTTTGCAGAATATTACAACATTTTCACACTACCTCTGAAGATTATACTGTCATTTTCACATCTGGATGCACGGCTGCACTTAAACTGGTAGCAGAAGTATTCCCGTGGGTACCTGAAGGCACAGAGCAACCGAGTAGTCGATTCTGTTACCTCACTGATAGCCACACATCTGTGGTGGGTATGAGGGGCATAACTGCCTCAATGAATGTATTATCTGTTCCAGTAAAACCAAAGGGTAAGATGTTATGGAAGAAAGACTGGTTACCAGCTGAAGAACAGAACTGCACAACACCTCATCTTTTCTCTTATCCAGCTCAGAGCAATTTTTCTGGTACCAAATATCCCCTTTCATGGATACAAGACATAAAGTCTGGAAAATTCTGCCCTGTCAAAGTACCAGGGAAGTGGTTTGTTCTATTAGATGCAGCCTCATACGTGAGCAGCTCTCCATTAGACTTGGGAGTTCACCAAGCTGACTTTATCCCCATCTCATTCTATAAAATCTTTGGATTCCCTACTGGCTTAGGAGCATTACTGGTAAACAACCGGATTGCCCCCCTCTTGAGGAAAACCTATTTTGGAGGTGGAACTGCCGCTGCCTACCTTGCAGGAGAAGACTTTTACTTCCCAAAGAAGTCTATAGCAGAAAGGTAAGGCTTTGTTTAACAAAACTCGTGGCTTTTTGTTTATTCTGTTTGCTTTAGACAAATGTCTTAGTGTTGGAGCATGCACTCCTCTCTGATAACTGTGTTGCTTTATGCAGTTAGATAGGCGTTTCTCATCCAACTCTGTTTTCTTCTTATTTTCATATCTAAAAGATGTTATCTGAAATATCCATCTTCCTTCTTTGATCTACGTTGTCACAACTGGTAAAACTGTATGGGTTTATCCAGTGACATAAAAGTCAATCCTTGTGTTTTTTAAATTTTACATGAGGTGCTCAACAGAACCCTGATTTGTTCTTGAACGCCTTCACCTGGAGCAGACAGGCCATGATTGGTCACACTATAATGACCCAAATGGAAAATGGAAAGTAAGGGCCATAGATTTCACTTACTCTTAGTAGAAGCTTTATGTGAGTAACACATACAATAAGGTGAATTACGAAGGACTAATATTTGTAGCTCTCTTATTTTAGGACTGAGGTTCTGGAGAAGCTGTGAAGCTCTCCTGCTGAAGATAGAGGATACCTAAGAGGAGGTGAAACAGAAATAGATAAGGAAATACAAGATGATATGTTAACATCCCTAGTTCTTTAGCATACTGAAATACTACTGCTGGTGATACTTGATCTTTCTGCCTCTCTCCCTGAAGCCAGGATCACCTTACACAAATGTAGAGAAGGAGCTTCCTTCCTGCAACATCCAATATGTCTGCACAAAGGGAAGATTTGAGATCAACATTTAGTATTAGGAGTGTCTGGAAATGAAAAAGAGAAATAATAAATACAGCCAGTCATGCCTTACATTTGTTTATGGGTTTGTATTCACAAAGTCCAGCATTTCCCATGATGTAAATGCCTGTTCTTCAAGTATTTGTGTAATAATGAGCATTATGCTTGATGTATGTGAACCTCTCCTAGTCACGTGCAATGAGTGCTGCTATGGTGTTTCAGTTCTGGAGTGGTAAATGTAGTGGCTAGCTCCATTAAGCTGGCTCTCTTCAAGTACAAAGCTACATATTATTTTAGAAATGAAAATTGGTAGGTGAACAGCCATTTAATCCTTTAACTTATTTAAAAAAACAAACAAGCAAAAAAACCAAAACCAAACAACAGGGAAATATTATTGTTCTGAGTTCTGCTTCTGTGTTGTTGTTTTTTTTTTAAACCAAAAAGGCCTTTAAGTGCAACAAAATTACTCATTGGGCAGCAGAAGGAAAGGGCACAAAAATGTGGGATGTTATGGTGTGCCAATATCACTTGCAAGTCAAGGAGAAAGCCTGCTTTAATTTGACCTGGGTAGACTCTAATTTCTGAGTAGCTTTCTAGAGATAATTGACACATAACTCCTGATGTTCCATAGCAGATGAAAATATCTGATAAACGTGACAGATCTCAATTCTTCTTTTACGCCTTTTGGAAAGGTATGCAGGAATCTTGAGGAAGCTCTATCTCTTTTTCAAGAGTCTTCAGAGGTTGTCTGCTTTTAAGTCATTCAGGCATTTGAGGCTCCCAAAATTTTCAAGGGCTTTTTTTTTTTTTTTTTTTTTTTTTTTTTTTTGTTACTGGGTCAGAAGAAAGGCCTGCTTTAACCTTCTTCTAGGCCAGAGTTATAAACAAGGAAATTTATCCAATTGAATTTCTCAGGCTGAGAGCAGAGTGTCTAATGTTGGTTTGAGGGAACCTAACATATAATCAAATCTGACACCTGGACACAGACATGTGATTGATACTAGTTCCTGGTAGACACCAGTGTCACTCAGTTTGACTCGTATATTGATATTTACTTCTGTTTTTATCTACTCCTTTGCTTTTTATTTGAAAACCTAATTGTTAAAAGTTTGTGTTTAGAGCATTATTGATGCTGTCCATAATCCCTTGTGAACTCTGGATGCTTAAAGTCCTGCCTACAGAAGCTGACATTTTCAAAGATAGGTCAAGGAATGAGGATAACCATTTCTTGTAAAAATAAAAAATGATAGCATTGAAAGCCTCAATCAGTAGTCTCCATGCTGTTCCATATGGGCTTTTTTCCTATTCAGACATTGTGGTGCTTTGCTTCAGTGTATCTTTCAAGTTGTTTCCGAATAATAAAACACACAAAGCAGGTAGGAACAGATCTACTAGATTTCAAATGAGAAAGCCAGCCATCTTGGCCAAAGCTAATGATTACCTTATCTGTGGCCATGTTTCCATTTCATCACTAGTGTCTAAAACACAAATCATTATTTCTTGTATGAACAGCTAATTTGCAGAAAGGAGCTTCCAGCCTTGGAGGTGTCTAAACCCAGCTGGGAAGACATTTAGTGATCAGCTCCAGCTGGACATGCTTTGGGCAGGAGCTGAGACTTAAGACCCTCTGGGATCTCTTCTGACTTCTGTGTTCCCACTGTTGATCCTGAGCACCACTGCTGAGCTCCATATTCAGTCTTTCTTTAGATACATCTCTGTGATTTCTAAAGATTGGTTTCTTAAAATAGTTCTTTTGAAAAAAGATTTTTTAAAGTATTGCATTAACATTGGAAGTGAACAAATGGAAATGTTTCATTTTGTGAGCTAATTTATGAGTACCTCCCCTACGAAGACAGGCTAAGGGAGGTGGGCTTGTTCAGCCTGGAGAAGAGAAGGCTGTGGGGTGGCCTCATTGCAGCCTTCCAGTACCTGAAGGGAGCCTAGGTACTTAGGAGAGGAGTCAACTCTTTGAAAAGGTAGATAACAGCAGGACAAAGGGAAATGGTTTTAAGTTGAGAGAGGGAAGATTTAGGCTGGATATCAGGGGAAGTTCTTTAATATGAGAGTGCTGAGGTGCTGGAACAGGCTGCCCAGATTGACCCTGGAGGTGTTCAAGGCCAGGTTAGATGGAGCCCTGGGCAGCCTGGTCCAGTATTAGATATGGAGGCTGGTGGCCCTGCTTGTGACAGGGGAGTTGGAGCTTGATGACCCTACAAGTCCCTTCCAACCTGGGCCATTCTGTGATTTTATGATTTATAAGGAAACCTGCATTCTAACAAATATTACTGGAAAAGGAGATTAAAATATGTATGTCTGGATGCTTTCAGCAGTAGGCATCCCTTGTGCATAATTAAAGTGCAATGTAATAAGATAATGGCTTTTTGTGAGTCAAGGTGAAACTTGAGTGGAGATGTATAATGAGGATGTTTATTCATTTTCCTTCCCAGAACTGTCAGAATTGTTACCTTTTGTTTTAATGGATACAGCTTTTCCTGGTGTTATTGGTAGTTTATGTTGTTGTTGTTGCTATATAAATTATTTTATTTCAGACTGTTAGTTTTTTTTAATACCCTTAAATCACTGTCATACTTTCCCATTTCATATCAATAGCCAGTCTTTCTATATCAAATTCTAAAATCATGTTTATTGTATTTTCATCCCTGTATCAAACAGCTTGAAAAATTATTATTATCATTCACAAATCTAGCCTCATTTCCCATGTTGTTTTTTTTCCCCGCAGCATGAGATAATAAAATAATATGATTATATATAGCAAGAATTCAGTGATAAAATATTCATCATCTGTCCTATTTTTTCTTTTGTATCTGGGAGTGCTATTCAGAATCTGATCATTCTGGAATTTATGACTAAGGGAAGAGGCACTGTTGTGTTATCTGTAAATTGGATATCTGCATTGTAGTCTAGTAGTGTATGAGCTGTTGTGTGGTTTTCATTTCCAAATGCATTTTCAACATCTTTGAAAATCCACATGGCCTGATTTTCTTCCTGACCAATTTTAGTGGTTCTTGTCTCCTCTGCTTGGATGATTTGACAGTCCCAGAGCAGCAGCCACACTGTTGTAATCTATGATGCAGTGTACTTAACCAGAGCAGTAGGAAAGGTGTTTTATTTTCTTGATGCGGTAACTTTCTATCTGTGAAGTTATTCAGTGGCTGTTGTATATGACTTGCCAATAAAAGATGAGATCCATAAAGTTCTGCAGGAAATGAGCTTGATTAGGTTGCACCCATGTACCTCAGTGGAGAACTGTGGTAGAGATAGAGTTGGGATGGAGTCTGCGTACTTGTGCAGATGTGTAAGTAATGACATAGTTTGGATCCTCAATTGCGTGCTGAGCTTGTCCATGCTGAAAGGAAGGGAAAGGACAGGAAAATGGAGCCAGAAAGTTAGGATCCAAAGGATCTACTACTAGGTTCCCAAGAACAGCTATCATTTTGAGGGATTGAGTATAATACCGTGTGTCTGGGTAACTGATGTAGAACGTCTCTAGAATCCCTTGGTAAAAAGCTGATTTTCCTGGTTGAAGTTGTCTCTTGTGTTTTATTGCATACTTCTGTCAGCGTAGAAAATGCTGATTTACTGCACTAAAACTCTTCACAATACTGAGAAATCACCTAGGGGCTGGACTACTGATGCTGGCGTTGTCATCAGGCTCCCGCACCCTTGGGGCTCCATCCATAGGATGTTTTTAATGTGAGAAGTGGCTGAAATGGTGCTAGTATTACTAGTTCAAAGCATATTGTTATGGTCCTTACATGGTTTTGAGATTTTTTTTGAGATCTCCAAACAGGACCACTTAAGAAGGATTTCTAAATCCAAAAAATTCCTCAACAACCATCCCTTCAAACAGAAGTGATAACTTTCAGACGATGTATTTGGGAAGTGATAGGGGTCTTCATCTAATTTCAAATGGGTGTTCACTGCGAGGCTGCCTCTGCACCTGATAGACTGCCTGGGACTTGCCAGCCTGAACGGGCAACAGGAAACCAAGATGTCAGCTCTACCTCCTCTTAAGTGCCACTGTCCCATAGAGATGAGATGCTGAGGGCATGGGGTGGAATTGGGTAGGGGTCTCACAGATGCTGTCCCTGTTGGAAAGACAGAAAAAAGACTTTTACTTAATTGATGGAATTTAATTCTGAAAAGTTCTACAGCTGTTTCTCAAAGCAAGAGCTGTGAAGGAGGAGAATATTTGCTTTCTGAGTAACTGTAAGAAGACTGAAGAGAACCTTCCCT